AAAAAAAAAAAAAAAAAAAAAAAAAAACGTTTGGAGAAAAGTCATTTTTCAGTTTTGTTTGGCTTCAATAAATAATCGCCATCTTGCATTCCAGACATGCAATGGCTGACTGTAACACTGGCTTTACTGGGGAAGATGGCAATAAGCACCACCTTTGCTGTCATCTATATGGTTACTAGCGAGATCTATCCCACTGTGATAAGGTCAGTTGCATCACCTTCCGCGACATGAAATGGTGCCTTTTAATTTATTCACTTTACTTGTCCGTGCTCACTTGAGCACGTCAAATAATTAAGTATAACATGCAAACCCTGGCCATTTTTGCACACACAGAAGGTTCAAAATAAAAATCATTATTCTTGAATTAATATGAAATTGGCATTTTGCACCTGAATTACTAAACGACGTACCCATTGAACATTGCTATTCACATGATCAAGGTCCATAGCTGATGTATCGCAGTATTTAAGTCACTATTTCTCATCATTCTTGATTTAGTTATAATTGTTTTCATTAGTTGTAATTGGTTTCAATACCAAATTGTTAGAATCACACGGGGCTATTTTTTTCTCAGGCACGTCAGCTTAAGCTTCCATTCCTCTATTGGACGGTTAGGTGGTCTTTTGGCTCCTCAGATTCTCCTCTTGGAAACTGTCTACAAGCCGTTGCCGTTCATAGTAATTGGGTTGTGTTCCGTGACCGCCGGAGGGCTGGCAATGTTGCTGCCAGAGACCCTGGGAAAACCCCTGTCTCAGACCATGGCCGCTTTCGACACGGTGATAAATGGAAGGTTGGTATGCATTTTCAACTACTTCTTTCTGATTTTAATATTGCGTCTAACAGCTAAGACAGATTAGGCACTGAACATTTTGTTATGACATAAAATGTTTTAAATGAATATGTACATGTTATATGAGAAGTTAAATTTTCATTGCTCTCTCATTGTTGCTTCAATTGGCTTTATTTTCTTACATGTATTATTATTATAAACAGAACAACAACGGTCCAGAATCAAGAGGGATGACTAAAAAATACTGGCGTTAGCAAAGAAAATCCTAAGGCAAGAAAACATCTCATTACGACTGTTCGGATTGCTGCTTATGTAACTTATCCTTTTTATCGCCCATCTCGAATCTTCAAGGAGGAAAATTATTAATCAAAAATGGATGAGCCAGACTTTGTTAAGAGAGGAACGAAGATAAAATGTGGAACACAGCGAAGGGAAGAGTGTTTAGTTTTGAATTTGTTCCATATGTTACACATTTTTTCGGGAGTGGGTGGGACGGAGGGAGAAGAGAGACGTTTAGGACCCTCTTAGTATACCAGGAATATTGGTACAGGGAAGAAAGAAAAATGTGAAAAAATATTATTTTTGTCTTTTTATCGACACTTTATTTACTTGGGGTGGGGGGGGGGGGGAGAGAAGGGGGAGAAAGGGCCACTGGTACATTGGAGTCCTATGGGTCATTACGACACACCGACTACCAATGCCCGCTTGCTCAATACTGAAATGTTTATTCTGGTAAAAATTCAGTATCAAAGCTCCGGTATGTTTTGTAAAGGAACGAGGTGACAACTGTCAATTGTTCAGCTAAAAACTACTTCAACTTGAGTATGAATTTCCCTGCTGTATTTGTCATTTTTTGCATTGCAGACACAGAAGATTCGTTTGTTTCAACGGGAAGCTATATAGAAAGCATCTTCACTTGAAAAGTAAGAAAAAATCTTTTAAAATTGTATTATCATTTACAGATGTATTACTTCTAATAAACGGAGCTTCTGTGTCATATTTAAGAAGGACAGATTTACTTTCCATGTACTGCGGCATTCTGGGAACAATGCATCAACATTTCAAGCACTTGTCTTTAGCTTTTCATTTTAGACTATGCATATATTACGGGAAAACTCTGAATGAAAAAGATTCAACTTATGTACATGTATATGGATATGTGAATAGGAAATAAAAAAAATACTCAGTTAAGGTTTTTATTTCATATATATAAATTTCAAGTATTAAATTATTTACGATATTATGCCTTGACTTGATTTATCTGGTGTACATAGAGTGCGAGCGGTACTACATGTACAAAAACAACTAATAACTTGACGCAGTGATACATTGCACTGCAGGGAGAGCAATGGAGAAAAATAATTACGCGATTTAAATATAAACAAAACAATTCAAAGTGAACCAGTCACGAATAATGAATATATTGGGTCAAATCAACTTTATCATTATCATAATACTAAATCAATCACACTTTTGATTACACTTTAGTATACATGTACATTAGATTAAAAACTCAGCAAGTTAAATTTCACCCGTTTTACATCTGCCTAAGAGTGCAAAAGAAGCACATAATGGTGGCGATGTAAAGGAATGTGACGGAGTTACTGCCGCTTAAGAACTGCTGTGGACTGGTTTGGAATAATAGTGATAATTATAGCAATAGTCACGCATATCTAATAAGCATGATGGCCCTAATAGTCGGTGTTGATGCACTCAGAACATTGTGTTCACAATGTCGCCCTATAGGGGATTGTGTTAACTGTGACATTTTCCTCGAGGCTCTTAACCTCGCGGCACAATCTTATCGTTTTTTAAAAGATACGATATCCCCTTGCTCTTAGTAAGGGCGCATTGCGCACTGAGTGACAATAATTTGCTTGAAATAAGAAACCCAATCGAAATCAAAAGTTAGTTGTGCTCTACTTCCTAGTTTAAGCTAGGCCCTTTAAGGATTCTAAACATCGTTACAACTGAAGCATGTACCATAAAACATCAAGCAAAAGTCAGATATGGGCATATCCGATTGCAAAAACTGCACATGACAACGAATTACAAGCTTCGTGACACATTTTCATATCATATAACCGGTATTTCTACATGTGTTTTCTGCCCAAAATGCCGGAAGACAAAAACATTATCTTATCATGCCGTCAAAAAATTCCGCTTCAACTTGACACTCAAGGATCCACTCCCGTATACTTCCAACTAAAAGTGACCAGGCAGCTTCACGTCTTACACCATTCGACGTCATCTGACGCGCACTTCTGGCACATTTCTTTCTCCTCCAGTTTCCCTTTATTCAATTCCACTGAGGTGCGGAAGAAGAGGTGTTAGTGGATATTTACTAGACCCAGGCTCTGGACATTTCATACTGGTACGTGTTGAGATTTCGAGATGAATAGCGTTAAGAGATCGCGTGAGGGTGAAAATATAATGAATTTACATAAAAATATAACGACAGAAGCAAAAAAAACGCAAGAGAAGACACTTTTTGACCCCATGTCCCATTTATGCTACGAACCGTAGTAGTAAGTATGCAGTAAGTCAGTCAGGACAAAAAGATGGGTTGACCTATATTATGTATTGCAAAAAACTGCTGTATATCATGTCTATATCTAACCCAAATTATTGCAGAAACACTATTTTATATTACCTTACAGTATACTTGTACACATGCTCATAGGTATTCTCTGTTGTGACAAGATAACAGTGCTCCCCGCTTGTCCCCGTCGCCTGGTTGTCAAAGAATTTTGTCGCAGGAGTGTCACTTTGGGAGTCGCCGTGGACGTGTTCATGAAAGTTTGTCGGTAAGATCCCTCAAAAACGCAAATATATATAAATCTGTATATGAATTACTCGATGTTTATTAATGTTAGATATATTTATGTATTTCAATTATTTTTTTCTAGTACAAAATTGCTTTTGTAGTTTTTGTACTCTATTGTCTCCATGTCTTTGTATCAGTGCGTGTAGGTACCAGTGCAACGAAACTGAAGGTCCGTGTAACAGAGAGTCCGCCCTCCAATTAGTTATAATGGTTAGGGTTAACTTGACCTAAGTGGGTCAAAATCTTGGGCTGGGCTCACCTGTACAAAAGCATGGGAAACGAACTCTATATCATGGGGACAATAGAGTGCCCTCTGTCACGTTACACCGATATGCTGGCACTAACCCTCAACTGAACGTCGGCCATGAACATCAATTTGGCCCTGCTTTTTTCAAAGTACGTCATTCATAAAGGGTGGTTATAATTTTTTGGTTTTAATCATAAGAAATATTTTTTTTACATTGGAGTCAGTTGCAGTCATTAACATGTACTCATATTGACGTAATGCCAAATGGTCATTAAATAGTGTGAAAAAAGAAGAAAAAAAGCCAAAATATCAACAACATTAAATTCACGTTTTGGGTTATATTACACCTTACGATTCAACTAACAGAATAAAGTATAAGTCCAAACCTGTGGTTCTCAAAAGGATAATGCAGTGTTGAATTCCTTTTGTCAGTGCTTTGAATAAAATATTGCTCTTGTTTAAAATAAAGGAAAAAAAGTAGGCCCTACACACTCTGTTTAACACAATAATGACAGTATTAGCAGTTTCCATGATTTGTTTTTTGCGTGCCAGCGTTTCGGGCATACTAAAAAGCCTATGGTATTATAAAATATGTGGATAGGTAGCAGTGCAGCAAGGTTCGCGATAGACACCATGAACTCAAAACGGGTTCCGAGACTAAGAGACCATTCCCAGACCCTATCGTACAAACTTTGGATCGAGCTATCTCCTTGGGAATTCTCGCTAAATTGCAATCAACTTAAGCGGGTTAGTTGTCTATCACGCCCACTGAGACTGACAGGGTGTAATTAACTATCGTTTAGCAGCTGCAGCAGGCATGTCAGACATCTAAGCCGCCTAAGCTGAAAGTAATTTAGCGAGAAACTCCTTGGATGTGGACTGATCCCGTTAGATCGATCTAGGTATGGAAAACCAGTCTTAGTTTTTATCCTTACATGTTACGTGTTTTAGGAAACGAATCCATCATTTATTGCCATCAACAAATTCGATTCTTTCAGATACATTGAATCTACGACGGGTCAGGAACCCACAAGTTAACTAAACAGCAATGCATTACGACGATCTTTTAGTGATACTTGGAGAGTTTGGGACCTACCAGAAACGCCAGTACCTCCTAATATGTGCCGTGGCGATGGCGGTTGCTACAGTGGTGCTGAGTATTGTATTTTATAGCGCCGTACCGGAACATCACTGCAAGGTACCGGACGCTTACGTTGACTACCTGAACCTGAACTATGGCAATGTGACACAGGACGAATTGTTAAACCTCACAATACCGTGGATACAAGACGATGATGGGACACTTCACCGAAGTAGTTGCAAAATATATGACTACCAGAGCTGGACTGAAAATCTAGACTTTTTTGGAAGTGGTGCTTACTCTGTAAATAATGGTACTAGGGATGATAGAAATATAACGGTAGGATTGGTGAAGGGAAATATGAGTGAAGTAGCCTGTCCCGAAGGACGAGTTTACAGCCAAGAGGAATTCACGGCAACCATTGTGTCGGATGTACGTAAGATACATTTTCAGAGACATGGTGCAGTGTAAAAATGTCATTTTAGTCACTTTCAGATAATTCATGATTGACAGTGCATTTTATTTTGTTTAAAGCTTTTTGATAAATTTTCTTTTTGGGGGTTTTCTATACTTTACGTCACATTATGGCACAAAGCTTATATGCATGGCAATTTTTCCTCTAGCTTCGTTTATGTGCTTGCTGTAATTTTTATTTACTTTATATATATAATTATAAAGCTTTAATTTTTTTCAGTTTGACTTGACGTGTGAGAGCAAAGTTATTCTAAGCACATGTAAATCGATATTTTTCGTGGGAAAACTTGCCGGTGCCATTCTCTCTGGAATCCTATCTGACAGGTAAACGACACAATTTCTTTTTTCCTTTTATTTATTTATTTTTCAATTTTTGTAGTGTTGTTTAGAAAAATGTTAAAAACAATTAATCATCTGCAATCCATCAGATATTGTTCCAACAAGAACCTCTTCCTCCTTTTTCACATTATTTTACCATCATACTTTAGTTCTAAATGATAACCTTGCCAGGTGGAATGCACCTTTTGTGATTAGATCATGACATAGACAAGATTTCAAGCATTCGTGTTCGTTTCACGTTGGTATCAAAATATGATCTGACATGTAACTGTGTCAAATTCGTTGAAAAATGTTTCTATTCTTTTGATATCTGTTTATTTTTCATTAAAGGTTTGGCCGGAGACCCATTTTCTTGATAGCGGTGTGTGTACTAGCCTTACTCGGAACTTTACTTATGTTGTCTCCAAATACCATCATCTACACATTGATATATACTTGTATATGGATGATCGAAATACCCGTATTTTTGACGCCCTACACAATAGGTACGCTTTGACAGAGCGGTGCAGTAATGACAAATGTGACACCTAACTGAGGTTAAGTGCAGTTTAGTACTACCCACATACGAAATTAGATTCAATTACCTAACTGCTTTACACGTTTACGGTAGTATTTGTCAACTACGAGTATAACAATATATGGAGACATCAGTGTTCACTTTGAAATCAAACTTCACCACGACTCTGTGCGGCGGCTTAAATGTCCGCATGACCACTGAAGCTGCTGGGAGGGGGGGGGAGGTAATTAACTTTCGTGCACGCTTTAACTGAACGCGATTTAGAGAGAATCCACTCGGAGATAGATCGATCCTGCTTGTACGATAGGATTATGGGAATGGTCTCTAGCATGTTTTGGTAGCTAAAGTAGCATATTTTAAGGTGTACCAGGCATTTTGAGCAACAGTGTACTTTCTTAGTGTGGTTCAAATTTAAGTACAGGGATTTTTAAAAAAAAATATGTTGTTTTTCTAGGAATGGAATTTGTAGGCAAAAGTAAAAGAAGACTGGCAGGGTTCGGCAACATGGCAGCGTATAGTATAGGATATTGCGTACTCTCCCTGTACGCATATTTTGTGCGGGATTGGAAATACCTGGCGCTGACGATACATTTACCTTTGTTCCTGTTCTGTCTTTATTATTTGTAAGTGCTGTAATACTGTTGCTCTGTAGAAATAATTCTTTTCAAATTGGTGTTTGTATGAAAAAAGATGCAGGAAAGGCATGAAGAACGTAGATCATTTAATTGAAATGACTTCATTGGTCCTTTTGATATACTACTGTATTTTGATCACTATTTTGATGCCAATTCAATATAGAACCCGCGATTTTTTTTTAATTAGTACAGAACGTGACTCCAAAGACCCGTGCAAAGCTACCATGCGATATACAGTGTTTGTTGACTGTTGACTTTTGAGTGGGTGGAAATTGTAAAATCAAATTTAAATTCTTGGGAAAAAAGAAAAAGCCTCCCCATTGGTTTTACCTGTTACATGTATGTACCAAGCATCAATGTCATGGATATACACCTAATTTCTATTTTTGTTTAAATATTTTTATGTTTCCCTAGTGCTTTCCCGGAATCGGTTCGCTGGCTGTTATCGCACGGTAGAAACCAAGAAGCAGAGGTTATCATCAACAAAGTGGCCAAAGTGAACAAAGTAGAACTTGAGCAAGGAATCTTGGAGAAATTATTTGAGGAAAAGTCGGAAATGCAGACCACACTTCACACGCCAATAGACATGTTTCGGACGTGGGATAGGGCAAAGATCACGTTGAACATCTGCTTTAACTGGTAAGTCTCAGCAAGTACATGTATGACGATATCAAAAAATCATGGGCTCTCATGGCTGTTCATCGTGTAAAATACATGTATATAATGGTTATTTCTTAAATATTAACTTAACCTTCATTTGGGTAAGATTGAGTATAAACAGTACAAAACAAACAAACAAACATAAAGATAAACAAAAAAACAATATTAATTTACTTATATTTAGTTATTATTTTTTTACTCATCAACATACACATAGACTTTATAAATCCATCGGTTGCATAAAATGAAAAATAACCTACATCCACCAAATTTTCAAAATCTAATAATGTTTAAAAGGTGCCCTGATTCTTAAATATTACAGGAAATTTGCTTTTAACAGAACGAATGATTCAATTTAAAGCCCTTTAATGGGGGAATTTCGTTCAGCGCAATTATCTACCTTTTCTCATTATTTTCTTAGGATGGTCAATTCAAATGTGTACTACGGCATTGCCTTAAACACCCAAGGCCTAGGCGGGAATATCTATCTTAACTTTGCCCTACTAGGACTCGCTGAACTTCCTGCTTTTGTTTTAGCTTTGTTGCTATTGGACAGAATAGGGCGCCGCAAGGTGGCACTGCTGTTCTATAGCGTTGCTGGGATCGGGTGCATTTTGTCAGGAGTGCTCCCTTCAGGTTTGATTTTCTTATTGGTATTTCGATTCTATTTAACGACGACAAATAAAGAGATATTTCATGAAAGTCAATGTCTTTAAGCCCATAATACGGACAAGTCTGTTTGAAAAAATTTAACTTACATGGTATTCCAAAATTCATCGTGTATTGTCAAATTGAAGTGAAATTTGGATTTTTCCAGAATTGTGAGAAATGCCACAGTGACTTCCTCATATTATTTAACTGTCATATTTTAACCAGATATTTTGGTCGAATAATAATATACATTCCTTTATGTACATGTACCCAGTACCATATTTTTGAACTGGAGTCTCTCTCCTGAATCTTGTTTGTGGTATCTGATTCTCATTCCTCACCAGATCTTGAATGGCTCAGTATCACCTTTGCAATAATCGGTAAGATCGGTGTGGGAGGCAGTTTTGCTGTCATCTATCTAATTACTGCTGAGATCTACCCCACCGTCATGAGGTAAGTTGACACAGTGATACCTGTCATCCACGGATTGAAGAAGGGTTATTAAGAATTGGCAAGGGTTAAAATTATAAATTTATCAAATCGAAGTGAACAAGACTGCAAAATCATTAAATATATTGCATCAAAGCGACTTTATTGTTAGCATGGTTAAATCAAACACGCTTTAAAACACTGTTAAATATGTGTTAAACTGAACTCACCAGTAACTTAAATTGCATCTTTTTTGTAGCACGATATATGATTTATATCTTACGTGAAATCATTCCAGAAACCTCAGTCTCGGGTTCTCCTCGGCAACGGCACGTGTTGGTGGCGTTCTTGCTCCCCAAGTTCTCTTACTTAGCAGCGTCTGGGGTCCTCTTCCCTTCGTGGTCTTTGGGGCGGTCTCCATCCTCGCCGGTCTGCTCATCATGTTGGTCCCAGAAACTCTGAACCGACCACTTTGCCAAACCGTGGATGACTTTGACATCAGGATCAGCGGGAGGTAAATTGAACAGCTTCAATAAAATTATATGCACGGTGTATTCACGTTTCGACTTTCATAGGAAGTTTATTCGTTTACAAGATGGCATGAAGGTAGCGTCTGTTAAAGCGATCCCACCAGGATAGTTCATATTAATGAGGGTGTTTTGTCTATAACTCCAGGATGATGCTTCCATGCATCAAGCATCTATTCAGTAAACATGAGGTTTAGCAGTGATTTTAAAACATGCAATCTGTCATGTTTCAGAGCATTTAGCCTTCTTGTTTACGTTTAATTTTCAGGACAACTTATAGTGGTGGCGCTTCAAAGGAAAACGGTGGTGTTTCTGTCACAGGAGAGGGTCTACGAATGTGTGTAGAGGACGAGGAAGGCGCAGAGGAATCGCTCCAGACTGGCGTCCAATCATAATTGTTATCAAAATGATCGTAACGCGGACCGAAGCAACAAAATAAACCCTTGTAGAGCACAGGAATATCACAGTTGCAGATTCAGTTTATGCGCAATTTAAAATGGACGATAATGTGAAATTGAAAAAGCCTGCCTGTATTTGCAGTCTCGCTGTTTCGATTGCCTTTGCTTTGTGCTGTCGTCAGAGATAAATTTCGATTGGTTTATGGACCAAAAGGCAGTTGCCTCGGACTGTGCTAAAACGGTCTTTATTTGGTCTAGTTCAGAGGATTCTCTTTGTATTTATAGGGTTTAACTGTACGGTCATTTTGCCCAAATGTTACCCCCCTCTCTTTACAACGAAATAAAAAATCTCCACTAGGCAAGGTAATGAAAATGTTGCAAAAATGCATCGAAAGTCGTAGAAAGGTCAAGTGTGTGCAATGCAAGCATATTGAAAAATCTGTTTCTTTGGCGACAATGGGCCGATATGATATTTTAATTTCAATTCTTGTATTTTGACTGAGAGTTCAGATTTTTTCGAAAGCGAGGCAAAAAGCATAAACAACGGACGACCACGTGACAGCATTTACAAATTGGACTTCATAAAGTTATAGCGTAATAAGCACCGAAAGACTTTTATATTTATCTTTAAAAGCTTCGATTAAATGAATATAAAACTGTAAAATACTGTAGAATTTAGAATATCGTAGAATGAACTTTTTTGCCTATTGCCTATTACTTTAAGTTGATATTTTGTAAAAATAATAGAGCTCAAACAAGTAATTTTTTATATGGCCTGCGTGACAGGTACTTCTGTAACAAGCCCCAGTCGTATGGCAACTGGTTGTGCGTATGCAGATACTAAGCACAGATCACGTGTTCTGAGGTGGCACCCGTGATGTAACTTTTCTCAGCCGGTTGCCTTGTTATTGTTCGTGTGCTTCTTTGAACAATATGTTTAAGCTGTGTCGCCTTCTGGAGGATTGTGTTAGCTGTAACATCATCCTCGAGGATGTAATTGCGCTCAATCTTGTAGGTCTTGTGTATCTGAAAATTGCTGCTCTGTCCATTTTTAACGATAAAGATGTTTGTTTTTAATCTTTACGATAGTAATGAAAACATAATTTATTAGATTCAATTTCAATATTGGATTTAAAAGACTAATTTAGGGCTATAGCCGTTTTGATGTACCGGTCACAGGAGCTATTGTAGATATTAATCTAAAACATCAACCATTTCTCTCGTTTTGTAAAAGAAATTCGGTAATGCTATTAACAACGCCTGTAGAATTTGGCAGCTTTCCACCCAACTGAGAAGTTGCAAAACAAGTTCGGAGATACATGTACAGCACCATGCGTGCATTCTCAAATAACTAGTCTGTCTTCTAGCAGATTTGTTTAAATATGTGTAACAGGAGCAAAGGGAAAGGGGAGCCTGTTGGTCAGAATAAATTAAAGTGTTCAAGTAATGTTTAAGGGAGGGACTTGTTCATGCTTCTGATATTTATGCTTTTGACGCCCTTGAAAACTTGAAAGGAACTAGTATAAATAATCCAAAACAATCTCCTGCGACACAAATACTATGAGAATTATGCCTCAAACCAATCACTATACAAAAGTCTAACGTTGTCGTCTCTAATGAGTTCACAGGTTGAATCTTTTGGCTGTAGAATAGAATTAACCAAAGGGCGCAAATATTTTTCATTACTGTAAATCAGTTAGTTAATGGAACGTCACATGGGGTTGATAAATGTCACGTGATAATGAAAAAACCCTTCGTCATCATTTTTATGACAAGATAATGTATATCTTTATTTCTTAAAAATAAGAAGAAACACTAATTAAAATCACACATCAGAGTATCTACTTAGTTCTGTAGCGCTTAAGCAGGAGGGAATGGGATCGTGGATATGCTAATATAAACAATCCAACAGTTAATTCATTTTATATAAGATCGAACAAAAAATTACTGCTTGTCTAGTCATGGATGCGTGTGCGCGTTTGCTTGGATACAAGTAAAATCGTGTTAGAGATCCTTGGTTAATGTTCATTAAGTCCCCATAAACACAATCTTTGGTGTACGTCCCTTGAAAAGCTTCCTCACTCTCTCTTTCTCTCTTGAAATCTTATAGTCCATTCATACTTCTTTCTCTGCGATAGAAACGCCGTCAATTTTCTTTCCAGTGTCGTCATTATGAGTTGTGCTAAATAATTAAAAAGAAAAACCAAATGCAATGTTGTAGTTACACACATTGTTTTTTGCATATAAACTGCCCTGGAACCCTTTTTCTTAAACAATACCCCAATACCCCTATTACTTAAACAAATAACAATCTAGTAAATTGGATGTAAACATTAAATGGGCAAATCAATAAACTAAAGCTGTTCAATTTACCTCCCGCTGATCCAATCGTCAAAGTCCTCCACGGTTTGGCAAAGTTGTCGGTTCAGAGTTTCTGGTATCAACATGATAAGCAAACCAGCGAGGATGGACGCTGCCCCGAAGATGACGAAGGGAAGCGGACCCCAGACGCTGCTGAGTAAGAGAATTTGGGGAGCAAATATACCCCCAACACGTGACATTGCCGAGGAAAAGCCAAGACTGAGGTTTCTGGAATAAAAAAAGCGTCAGGCGATTATTCTTTAGCACGAACTCAAAGGCAGAAGGACATCTTTTAATCATATTACTAGGGCATTAAGGCACTCTATTTGAATATGACAACAATTAATGGACAATGCTACAACGCTTAGAACACGGAAGGCTTGTTGTCTCAACATTGTAGCCAAGTGGTTCACTTAAGCTGAAAGTATGTTTTATTAATGTAAATTGAATATTTGTCTTGTGTCAAATACGCGCATTGGTTAGATTTAACTACTATTGTCAGGTTTCGCTTTTCATCGTCCATTTTAATTAACTCTGATGATTACTGCAGTTCAGTTCCCGGTAGTTGTCATTGCGTTCCCTTACCTCATGACAGTGGGGAAGGTCTCGGCCGTGATGAGGTAGATGACGGCAAAGCTTGCTCCTATACCCACCTTACCGATTAAGGCAAAGGTAATACTGAGCCATTCAAGATCTAAAGAACACATATATAGATGGGCCAGTGAAAGCAATGCAGTTAAATGTAATATACTGTATATTATATTCAAGTCTACCATAGGTGTAGAAAGGTTGGTGACCTGTTGGCTGGACTACAGGAAAATTACTGAAAAGAGACTTATGAAAAAATCTGGACAAAAGTTGATCCTGAAATAGCCTTGATATTATACACCTGTATGCACGTATTTCATTAATCTTCATTGAAAAAAAGCTTATTCTTATATCTGTAGTCTTCTAATGGCCCTATGTGTCATTTATGACACAGCTACTCGTAAAAATATTGCTTTACCTGCAGGTAGAACTCCAGACACAATGCATCCACACCCAGCAATAGTCAGCAACAGTAGTGACATCTTGCGGCGCCCTATTCTGTCCAATAGCAACAAAGCAAAAGCAAAACCCGGAAGTTCAGCGAGTCCTAGTAGGGCAAAATTGAGATAGATATTCCCGCCTAGGCCTTGGGTGTTTAAGGCAATGCCGTAGTACACTATTGAATTGACAACCCTAAAAGAAGAGGAAGTTTCACCAGTTGTGGAAAAATACTGATGAAGATCTTGATTTTCACCAAAATGCTAAATTCGTATTATTGGCTCGGCTCTAAATTTTAGAAAGTTAAATAAAACCATACAAAGTCCTCTTTATAAATAATAACAATATTAATGTATACGTAAAGTACTCCTGACAAAAGTTTCCACGTGTTACTGTAAACTGCCCAATCTTACCAATTAAAGCTGATGTTCAACGTGATCTTTGCCCTATCCCAAGTCCGAAACATGTCTATTGGCGTGTGAAGTGTGGTCTGCATTTCCGACTTTTCCTCAAATAATTTCTCCAAGATTCCCTGCTCAAGTTCTACTTTGTTCACTTTGGCCACTTTGTTGATGATAACTTCTGCTTCTTGGTTTCTACCATGCGCCAAGAGCCAGCGAACCGATTCCGGGAAAAGACTAAATGGTGCAAAGTAATGAAAAATAAAAACATACAGAAGATACGATCAACACTTCACTCAATAATAATAATACTAATAAGAAGAAGAAGAAGAAGAAGAAGAAGAAGAAGAAAACAAAAGCTAATAAATCAATAAGATGAAAGATAAGTAACTTTATTCTCGATAGACAAAAATGGAGACTAAGTTTATTTGAAATTGCATTATATCTAATCTTTTTATATCGTAAGAACAGTTAACAAAACCAAAATGAATTGATTCAATTTTGCAGACCTGCCAAAGAAAAAAAATCGATTGACTCAAATTAAAATAATTCTGGCACTTACAAGTAATATAGACAGTACAGTAAACCAGGGAGGCTAACCGTCAGGGCAAGGTTTCGCCAATCCCGCACAAAATATGCGTACAGGGAGAGTACGCAGTATCCCATGCTAAAAGTTGCCATATTGCCAAATCCTGCTAGTTTTCTTTTACTTTTGCCAACAAATTCCATTCCTAAAGAATCAAAACAAAAGATGAATGAGACAGTTTGGAGGTCTGAAGCGTCCCTGCATATCATTGTTTAAACATAATTTCGGTATGATCTTAGTCAAAATAAAATGTTCATGTAGTATGGTTGTTCTGAGCTTTGATTTTAATACTATTAACTTGTAAAACATTTAGATAAAGGTTGGTGATATTGAGTAAACGCAATACTGAATCATTACCATTCTGAATAGTGAACTAATTCGTTCCTACTAAGATGATCTTCAAATATCATATTTCCTACGTTACGCACCTATTGTGTAAGATGTCAAAAATACAGATCCCTCAAAGATCCCTTGAATGCCATAAATGACCGTGTATACGAAGATGTTCGGGGACAACATAACCAAGGTCCCGGACAAGGTTTGAAGACAGACAGAGAACAGGAAAGTAGGCCTCCTCCCAAACCTGGAAATATATGATTAAATGAACCCCTATTGGATACTAGTTTCTTTAAGGTAATTCTTGCACGACGCACACCATAATAACATGCTGTGATTGACCTCTCAGAGAACATGATATGTATTGCAGATAACCAATTGTTTTAAACACTGTACGTACCAAACTAAACTGTGTCCAGGACTCTGTGACCAAATTTTACCGAACTAAAGAGCACCATTAGCGCTTACCTGTCAGATATGATCCCAGAGAGAATGGCACCGGCAAGTTTTCCCACGAAGAATATCGACTTGCACGTGCTTAGAAACACTTTATTCTCACATGTTAAGTCAAACTGAAAAGAAAAACATACTATACTGTAGTCACTTAAGAAAACACCACTCCAGTAGTAAAAACAGCAATACTTAAACGTCCTTTGGAAATCTCAGAATAAAAATTCATTTAATGTTATAACATCCAATTCATATTTTATGTAATAATAAAAAATTAATAAAAGTTTGTGTTGATGCAGTACCGTTTAATTGCAAGAGCTTTAAAATGCTAATCATAACACTGAATATTGCACAACGAGGACCGCGTTTTGACGGTGACACCGTCATGGCCATTTTCTTTTTTCCTCTTATACTTACATCAGACACAATGGTTGCTGTGAATACCTCTTGGCTGTACACTCGTCCTTCGGGACAGGCTACTTCACTCATATTTCCCTTCACCAATCCTGGAGTTATATTACTTTCATCCTTAGTAGCATTATTAACAAAGTGAGCACCACTTCCGACTTCTAGATTTTCAGTCCACTTCTCGTAGTCATATATGTTGCAACTACTTCGGTGAAGTGTCCCATCATCGTCTTGTATCCACGGTATTGTGAGGTTTAACAATTCGTCCTGTGTCACATTGCCATAGTTCACGTTCAGGTAGTCAACGTAAGCGTCTGGTACCTTGCAGTGATGTTCCGGTACGGCGCCGTAGAAAACGATGCTTAACGTCTGCAGGGTAGTCGATATCGTAACCAGGCAAATTAAGAGGTACTGGCGTTTCTGGTAGGCCCCAAACTCTCCAAGTATCACGAGAAGATCGTCGTAATGCATTGTCTTCTGTCACCTAAGCCTGCGTAGAGACAACGATGCTGGAAGAGTCAAATAAGTTAATACTAGATGGTGCGGTTAAGGTCATGGACAGTGTATACTATGGCTGAAAACAAACCCATTAATGCAGCTTTCTTATGACTTATGGTCAGGTGTTATGTGAATATTTTAACTAAAAAACGCTAAATGTTCTTGGATGAATACACTTTGAGGAAAAAAGCAAAAATAGCCGAAATTATGGGTGAAATAAGGGCAGCTGATGATGTCAGAGTGCAGTATTCATTTACTGTCTAAAGAGAAAAGCTTGTTGAATCTTGCAGAAAAGAACATGAGCAGGAAACCCGTATGATTGAAAATGATTAAATAATAACAACGTGTGAACCTCTTGAAAGTGCTCTTGAAGGTTTCTCTGGAACATTAATTTTATTCATTTCCCCTTATTATTGCTATTAAAAATAATTATGTTTTTGAACCAACTGACGGAAAGCCATGACGCTTTTAGTCACCACTAGGCCAACATGTACATGTACAGTTTCTTTCCATTAAGCACGTTCTTGTACGTCTGAGTAAATGGCTGCTTAGAAGACGTGTAATATGTATATAAACACTTTTAAAATTGCGTATCAGATTTGTTGATATAACCTTAAAATCAGTCAAAACAAGCATTACGAAAACATCTACCAAATATCAATAAAACAGTAACAGTAACAAAGCCGAATTGCCACCATATCTTTCTGTTACATAAGATACCCTTAGCTTTCAAACATGGACTTTACTATAGAAAGTGTTTAAAATGACCAGGTTTCTTATAAGTGTTTTCGTGCTGTTGTTTAATACCTATACCCAAGAAGTGAGACAAGTGGTATTTCGGAGACACCACTTTAACGTCTCTTATCCGGAATCAGCTTATTAATGCAGCAATAAAAGTAATGCATATTTTCACGCTCCACATGTACAAGGGTGAACGTAGTTACTGTAACAGGGTCAAAAGGTGAGCATTTCTGTTATGGAAGTGCATACATTTTGTGCAATATTTGCATAACTGTTTAATATCATTTTATTTCTGTTGGATTAGTTTCTTGGTTTTAGAGTTCTTAAGTGCAAAACAGCGAAAAGAACAGAGCGAGTCAGAATTATGCAAAAAGTGCGCGAAATGTTTGTGCGTAACTGATGGTTTCGTGGAATGACCTAACAACTATCTCAAAATCCCCCTTCCCCCTCAGCAATGTTGAAAAGCTGCTACCCACTAAGTTCTGAACAGGTTACATATATAAGCGCACATGTAGCTCAGTGCAGTGTTAGTAGTGTAGTGTTAAAACTAAACTATCAACCATCGCTATGATCTTTTCAATATTTCCCTTGACATGGACACCAAAGTGGGGAAGTTAATTCAGCACCTAGATCCACGCCATATGCATGTCACACATTTTAGTGACCATCATTTTAAATTCAAGTGTTTTGCAAACGATCAGGATATAAATAACAGTGTATCATGTCATTACCTACCATATGGCTTACCTTTGTGTACATATAGTCATAGCAACATATGCATGAAATCGTAGTCTTAGAGAATTTACTGCCAATAAAAAGAAAAATATCGCGATACGTATGTTCTTTAATCTTTGCAGCAATGTTCTTTGGTCGCCATTTAAGGAATGTAAATGTAAATACTTTGTTTAAAACAGTATCTAGTTAGAATGGCTAATATTTTTGATTTTTTACAAACAGAAAACGTGTTAAATACATAAGCTCCCTTAGATAAAATGATCTAACACTTACGTCATTTGCTCTTTCTAATATGGATAACTCGCTACAGTCTCTCTAAAATAAAGACGAGGATGATTTTCACATCAAACATATACTATCATAAGCTACAGGGGGTACCAAAGTATTGTGCCATTTGTATGAATAGTGTTCTTGGTGATGGGTCTTTGCTTAAAAGTTTGCGGTTTATTTTTCTCCTAACACGTGGTTAGCTTTCTTCAATGCACTCTGTAAAAGACCTTGGGTCAAGTATTATGAAGGACGTTTTAGTCTATAAGGTGTCCCTCTATATCGTTTCTAACCATTTGTGAGTGTAATTTCTGTTTATAGGTTTTGCTTAAAGAAGTATAAATTAATGAAAATTGAAGGCAGTTAACCGCACTAAGTGTGCCAAATGTATTTTAGTCGTTGACTTGGCGTTTTTGAAGGGACTACCTTGGTTGCTTGGCAGTATTCACTATGACAGTAACGGTCAAGGTCATAAAGAGGCGGCTGGCCAACTTACCACGTTGATAGAAAAAATGTTCAAACCATGTCATATTATCAAGGAATATAAATTTGACGGACACACAAATAATTGCTTTGTGGATAAATTACCTAAACACCAATCTAAACGACATTTATAATTGTGTTGTATAAAGAGCAGTTAGACAGCCGGTTAGGTAAATAGCGTTTAAACAGTTTAACCGGCGTCAAAGTGCTACCATGGTGAAGCCATGAAAGATCTCAATACAACAACGCCAAGAGATTGTTTCTATAAATTCTAAAAATGAGGGCACTAGCTCCTTGTACAAATAGCAGCAGACGAATATACTGTACGTGTGACATATACTACAAATACCACTTAACAGTGCTGACTGTATTCCCGTAATAGTAAAATGAATTGACAAATATGGACCGCTAAACTATACAAGAACTTTCGGAAATGGAAAATGGACAGGTTACTACTAAAAATTGTGTGCACTTTTTTAAAAGTATAACTCGGAAGCCTTCAACCAAGACGTAGAAAAATATATTGAGCTAAATTGCTCTGCCGTTGACCGTTAATGCACATTTAAATGATGTTCATGTTAGACCATATGACTTGAAATGTCTTAGAGAATTTACTGCCAATAAAAGAAGCCGTTTACATACCATTTGGAAGGATTTATGAATTACCGATATAAAACTATAATAAGTAAAAGCTAGAAATATTAATTTACAACTGTATGAATAAATTGATTAATTTACTTTAAACTCTTTCGATAAAATTCCAAAATACACTGTAGTACTAACTTACCTTGCAGACGTTCGTGCGCGTGATGGAGTCAGTGCGTAGTTTCTGCAGTGGATAAAGTGCATCGTTACGTCTGCGTCTTAAATAGAAGAAAGGGTGCGTTGGTCTCACCTGGACCTCCGTATTTTGTTACAGGTTTATCGCTAAATGTAACAAAATATTCACTGCGGTATCTATGACTGTATTATACACTTTAAAATCATTGTTTGGTAGGCGTTTCAATAAAACGATTTCCACGTTGTCCATCATTTATTAAAATATCCAATTTAGTCGTCTAGATGCTCCCTTTCTTAACTCCAGTTTCAAACAAAAGACATCATCATATCTTGTCTCTCTTTATTCTACAAGTGCACTAGCTCCAACATCAATTTTTCTTTAAACAGCATAACATTAAAATTTTTCTTTATTTGGCATAATTAAGCTACACAGGTATAACATAGTACTGATGCTCGAAAAGCATTACCTAAAATAACCATCGAAAAAGATGTGATGCAAATACATCAGCTGTTAACTGGATAATGGCTGCACATACCGAACTTTATGGTAGAGGTAAGATTCTAGCTTAGCTGAGGTAATACATGACCTGATCTTAGGGCTTGTCTCAAAGAGTTAGCGCACATGTCTGATGTTGCCGTCAATGTTGTTGTGAAAATGTGAAGAACTTTTGTTCGTCTGGTAAGCACCGAAGAAGTAATATCCGAATACAAAGAGAAACGACGATAACAATAATTGCGGAGAGTTGTCTATCCTGAAAGTTGATATTTGCCATTGGATAGAATGTATTCATATAGGCAATTATAATGGGCACTACAGGTACATGGTTCAGCTAAAGTGGCGTTGCTACATTGAAATAAAAAGCCTAGGTAATTGGTGTTCACATAGAAATCTTACACAAGACAAATGCACGCCAAATATGTCGTACTTCTCCGTGAAATTGGGTGTGCTGGCGTTTAATCCTTTACTGAAACTATAATATTCTGGAAAATCTATATAACTCGTTATTTAATAGAAAACTAGAGAAAAACCAAATGCATCCACGGTTTACATGGTGATTGAACCCCCAAAGCACGTTGAATATAGGTAGGTAGTTCTGACATTTATACACACTACACTTTTTTTGTGTGTGAAAGTTCGCTCAATCAGACCTCATAAACAAAATTGTTATTCGAGATCTCAAACCGTCGATTTGTGATCGCGAACGCCGAATTGACGACCCGGACCACGATTTCATGGTGCGAAATTATAGATACGTGACTCGACCTGCTCAATATACGTACATGAGAAGTTCCTTTTTTAAAACCTGTAAATGGACAATTTAATCGGTGCATTCGATTCAGTAGCTCGAAACCGGGGTCACATTTTATGGGAACATTTGGGACGAAGAAAGTCAAGATATGTGTCTATTCCGTGCACCTATAATTAATAGTGCACATTTTGTCTTTTTTGACTGTTAAAATATAAATATAAAGAACAAATGTCGTACTATAGTATCCGGGGGCGGACTGAGGCCGTCTTCTGGGTCTTACGGAAGACGGTCAGATTTTCAAGTTTACATTGACGGGTATCTATTTTTTCTGTCGGAAGACGGTCAAAAATGGAGGATGGATCAACAAAGATAACTTGGAAGACTGTCAGAAAATATCTCTGGATCTGCCCCTGAATAAGATTAACTTGAAAGGGATGGGCACCAATAAAAGCCCTTTTTATACCTCCCCCTCAAAAAACCCGCAGGTTGGGAGTTGATTTCCTTCGGTTTAGCCATGGATCCTGGGGCCGCTGTCATAAAGTGTTGATGGAATTTAAGATGGACTGCATTGGATTTTATATATATAAAAAAAGAATCATTTCGTTTTACCTACGTTTGTCTGTCATATATGATAGGTAGCAGAGTAAACGTATATGATGCCGTTTGTTTGCAAATGTCGCCCATGAAATGTGGGCTTTTGGATTGTTTTTGTAGTGTTGGTGTTCTGATTGCACCGAACTCATCTCAACTAATGCAATTCGTATCAAATACAATGCTGTAATTTGCAATTACCAAACATGGAAGACTGTTGAACTGAATTTTTGAAAGGGAGACTTCGTTTTTGCCGAATGCAAACAAATGGTCTGTCATCGTAACCACAATTAAAATTCATGAGGTTAGATATTATATGCTTGTATTGATATTCAAATGTTAAATAATTTCTCGTGGTTGGTGGATGTTTCCAAGAGCAAAGCAGAGTTCATAGACTTACTTTCATCATTGGATCCACTAAGAAACCATTATATCGTAAGACTAGCAAAGTATTCTGTGTGATAGAAAAAAAAATCGTGCTGCATCTAACATCATAATCTGAAGTCACATCTACTTGATTGTACATGTATACACACATATTATACAAAATGCATATGTAAAAAGCTTACAAAATTATAAGAAAAAAGTAATTTCTCTTCAATCAACGTAATATTGAAATGGTTAACCTCCAATATTTCTCTGACTAACATAATCATATTTTGAAACAGTTTTTATTATAATGATTATCTTTTACACACCGCTGTATTACATATTAGATCAAGTTCACCAGTGTGCAGTTGTTGTATAAACATGTCCAGATCATTTATGTTAACATACTGTGGGGTCTTCAATTAACGGTAGTGTAGTATATAAAATCTAAGCTGTCCCATGTCCAATTACCGTCTTTGTTAAAGCTGACTTTCAATCAATGTCAGTTTCCTTCACATCGCTCGAGCAAACTTGGTTTTAGTTATAGTTTCATCAATATGTGTATTTACCTAGGTACCGTGCTTCCTTGGGACCGAAGTACTCCGTACAAATGCACCCATTGTATCATTATATTCTATATGTCAATTTACATATTTTCCAAATGGAAAGCATTGCAATTTGTCATTCAGTCGACCTGACTGCTCTTTGCCAGAGTCCCATCACAGTTGGGTCGATCCACACAGACCGATGGTTTCAGTGGGAATGGGGCCTTAAATTGCAAGTTTCTCCCTTGTTCTGTGACTATACTTGCAATGCAATTTTATCCTGGTCATTGGCTTGTAAGATAATACTGTGTTGTTAAACTATCAATTAAGTGCTGTTACAGTTATCCTGATCTGATCAATCGTTCGAATTGTTCCTTCCTTCTTTTCGTCTGACTAAAACAAAACCATTGATCCAGAATTATGGTGTTTGCAGTGATAATGAAGAAAGTGATTTAAAAAACCTTTTCTCACTGAATTTAATCACTCTACGGAATGACTTCGAAAACGTCCCTGTGTTTTGAGATTTTACTTGTTTTTGTCCGTGTATACACGGCCTCTACTTCGCGCCAAGAAGAAATCGGATTATTCGCGATTGAAGAGAGATTTCGTCAAGACGGTTCTTCGTTGGGTACAGTAAAACTTCGCTCCCTCTCAGAGTGCGGTTCTAGATGTTTGGTCACCGCAGGGTGCTTGGCGGCCAATTATGAAAGTTCTTTAAGGGACTGCGAATTACTCAGTAACATCACTGGACAAGGAGAAGTCGCCGGGGTCAACTCTGCATGGACATCGCTAGGTCTGTATATACTGGCGCAGTTTTCAGCGTGCACATTTGGTTTTTTTATTTGGGGGGGGGGGGGGGGTAAATATCTTTTATCGACCGCTGAACATTTATTTTGTTCTATTTCATTTCATTTATTTACTTTTATCTTATACTATAAAACATTTTTATTTATTCCAATACAGCTTTTTTTGGACAGATATTCTAATCATTTTGAAATTATTTGTAGTCAATTAGGCGGCCATGAAGATGGGTATGTTATAAATGAAATTTGTTTCATTTTTTAAATAAGTCCCGTTTCCCTCATTATATTTATTTCAAATGATGTTTAATTTAAAACAGTGCTTGAGGACTCTTCTAAGGCAATGGGCCCTTACGGTGGCTCCTCGGGAGATTGGTTCAGTGATTTTGGATCATCTCTGTATGGCCCCATTTCAAGTATTTTAATACGGCACGGAGGTATAATCGACGGGTAAGTGACCATTATGGGTGACTCATGAACAGCAGCCGTTATATGTTGCATAAGAACTTGTCCCATGAAAATTGCAGCGTTTTTACAAAAACATTTCTTCATTTTTCTCTTTATTCTTCGCTTAGACACCATGGTCAACTTTGCATTATCCGCTCCTACAAAACATTAAATTTGGATGCATTCATTTGTGTATTGGTTAATTATTCATTGGGTCAGACCTAGCTTACCTTACTATTAGTATCACCATACATATATGTATTATAAACCAAATCAGTTAACAACATGTTTCAGAATCCAGTTCATCTATGGCGACAATACGGAAGGGACCTTCGCTGGAGGACAAGGGGGAAATGCTGAAACATTGGTATTAAACACGGACGAGTGCATACACAAGTAAGCATTGTGCTTTAACATTAAGAGAGTCGCAATTATAAGCACTCTGCTGTTACATATTTAGATTTAAAAGAATTAATACGGTTTATGTGCATATGAACGATCATACTTTCGACGTTATAAAACTCAATAAACTTCCTGGTTAAAGCAAGGTCCTTTAAGAACCATAAAACATAACTGCAGCGCTTACCATAAATACCAAACAATGGTTAGTTATGGGCATATCAGATTGCATACATGCAAAAATTGCACATGCCGACGATTTACAGCCTGGCGTGATTTTTCCCCGTGACGTTCTTTGTCGCGCTGTCGGTGGACCGAAATTAAGCACAATTGTGCACCTTCAAGCTTCGTGACACGTTTACATATCCTATACCCCGTATTTCTACAAGTATTCTCTGCTCAAAATGCCGAATGACAAAGATATTATCTTATCATGCCGTCAGATAATCCGCTTCAACTTAGCACTCGCGTCTCTACTCCCGTCTGCTTGACCAAGCAGCTTCACGTCTTACACCACTCGACGTCATATGACGCGCACTTCCAGTATAATCCTTTCTTCTCCGGTACCCTTCATTGCCAAATATGGTTGTATTCTTTTTTTCTTTAAACCAGGATTCGCATCGGTATGGATCAAGGGTCAGAGTATGTTGGTCAGCTGTACTTCACCACGAACAAACACACCTACGGTCCATATGGAATGCAGAACACGACATTGTGGGACGTGGAGCACGGAGGGCAACCCCTGATGTACGTGTCTGGAAGATACAGCAGTTATCTGAACGCCTTGACATTTCACTGGAAAGACTTGTAGGCTCCCATATTGGCTTGTCTTATTCATTGTCATGACTAACCTACGTACTCAACGTACTTTCGGCTTGGGAGATCAACCCCCGATTGTTTAGCCATGGATAGAGCAACCGTTATGTCAACGTGTTGGTCAAATAACGATGGACTGCTACTTATTCAGTCAAACATAACCATTCCTTATTGTCTCCGTTTATTTGTCATAACACGTATATTCCTGATAATTATATGGGCTAGGCGTTGAAGTGATAATACACGTACACTGTACAATCTGTACCAAATGTCGTTGCTTTGTAAAGTCGCCTGTGAAATGTGAGATTGTTTTAGCAGTGTTTATTTTCTGGGTGCGCCGAACGCATCTCGCCTACTGCAATTCATTTCAAATACAATTTCGTGACAATGAGAAGCATACACAGGTCCATTTCCAATTTGCTACTTTTATTTAATGTCAGCTTCCTTCACATCAGCAATCTTACTTTTAGTTAATTAAATCAATATGGGTGTATACATTAACTAGATGGGTTCCATTTCTCTTGCTCAAAAAGTGTTGTTTTTTTTTTCGTATTACACTAATACTAAAATATGCATTTGATATAAAAGAAATGGAAAAATCTATTTTGTGAAATAAAACCTTACATAAAATATCGAACCGCCTTAAGACTCTCCACTTATGTTACCTTGTCCCCAATTAAGAATTCTGCTTTTGAGTCTATTTGCAATCTTCTACCATTCTTCCAGTGCAACTGTTTCCTGGATTAATCGAAAACATTGATCCAAACAAGTGGCATTTGCAGTAGAGCCATTATGAAAAATTAAAATTTTCCCTGAAAGTAGACACTAGACAGAATGGCTTCGAAAGTTTCACTGTGTTTGGGGATATTTCTTGTCATCGTCAATGTTTGCATGACCACTGCTTCCCCTCTGGACGCAATTGGTCTCTTCATGATCGAAGAGGGATTTCGTCATGATGGTTGGTCGCTGGGCACGGTAAAACTTCGCTCCCTCTCCGAGTGCGGTTCTAGATGTTTGGGCATCGCAGGGTGCTTGGCGGCCAATTATGAAAGTTCTTTAAGGGACTGCGAATTACTCAGTAATATCACTGGACAAGGAGAAGTAGCTGGGGTCAACTCTGCATGGACTAGGCTAGGTCTGTATATACTGGAACAGTTTTAAACATTTGGTAAACTTTGCAGGAAATGTCTTTAACCGACCGCCGAACATATTTAGATACTTTCCGATTTTTCTATTTATTTTATTTTATTTATTCTATGTTATTTAATTTTTTTTATTTTAATAAATATAATTTATTTTTTCCTTCCATCTTTGCTGAAATGTAAATTATATCTTTAAGCTTGAAAATTATACAACATGCATGATTGTCATTCATAGATCTATATCTAACTCTCAGTATTTTTCATTCGTACTTTGAACATTAATCAAAGTGCAAATGTCAATAAAACGACATTTTCAACCTACATCTATTTGATTCTGTTGTTTTGTGTATGATAACAAATTTTGACAGCAAACTAGCCTCGGCGACTCCTCTCAATTCATGCACTCATAAATGTCTTTATTTTATTAAATTTTTTTTTATTTTTCAATACAACATTCACTTTGGACATTTCATGAAATTATCTCGTAAATATTTCTATTAAAGCAGCTGAGCAGGCTGTCATGTTGACGGGCATGATGTTGACAGGCGGAAACAACATTTTTTTCCAAATGCGGGTACTCACTTTACTCTTAAAACTACCTACTGTAAGGAAAGTTTATACAATTTTCGAAACAAATTCTGTTCTTTTAATTATATTTATTCTGAAAGAAATGTTTTTTTAAACAGTGCTTGAGGACTCTTCTAAGGCAATGGGTCCGTACGGTGGCTCCTCAGGAGATTGGTTCAGTGATTATGGACCATCTCTGTATGGCCCCATTTCAAGTATTTTAATACAACACGGAGGTTTAATCGACGGGTAAGTAATTATCGTGGGTGCCTTACGAACATCAGTCGTTATATGTTGTATGTGCACTGTGTGCTCCATGAAAAATTAAGTGGCAGCGTTTATTGCTTTATACAGTATGAAGAGGTTAATTTTATACTTTAATTGTAAGGACCGAGAACCACATATAAACTTGTAGTAGATCCCCTGTGCATGAATGTTTTGTCCATTTCAAGACCCGTAGAAGGCAACTTTTACCGGTAAATATTTTTTACGAAAAAAATATTGATTTTTCCTTCCTTTATTCTTCCCTTAGCATTCCCTACACAGTATTGAATGCGGATCCGTTGTTCATATTAATTATTCATTGGGTCAGACCTGTCTTACCATACCATTAATATCACCATATAAATTATAAATCACATCTGTAAACAACACGTTTCAGAATCCAGTTCATCTATGGCGACAACACGGAAGGGACCTTTGCTGGGGGACGCACAGCCGGTACCTCAACGTTGGTTTTCAGCTCCGACGAATACATACAAAAGTAAGCATTGTTCTGAACCAGTCGTAAGATATAGGGGGCATTCATAACAAATTGGTCTGCAGACTAACAGATCCGCGGATCAAATATGGCCGACCCACATAAAAGCAGAGCCGACTGGTCCCCTGATGGTCTCCCTGCCTCTGCACACGCCATGAAACGGATTAAATGTAGGCTTCGGGGTTTAATTGATAGATCCCCGCAGGGACGGTGCGTGTGGAGACAGGGAGACCATCAGCTAATTAGTCGGCTCTGCTCCAATGTAAGTCCGCAGATCATTTTTTTTCTGAAAGCCCTCATACACACTCTGTACATGTTTAGACTAAGGATTTATTACAGTTAATGTGTTTATGAACGATCATACTTTCGATTTATAAAACGTAATTAACTACTACTCATTTAAGCTACCACTTTACTCACTTTACCCTTCAATATTTTCGCGTTAATAAACCAATTGTGCACAGTCCTGAGGGTACTACGGAGAAAACTTCCCAGTAAGAAGAAATAGAACTCATTATTATTATTTTATTTAATGTTTATTACTTAATAATGGGCTTTGTCGCGACATTCATACTCAGGTGGCGGCTATTGAAAACTCATCGACCATTTCCACCTGTGTCTCTATTATTTTCCTTTTAACCATAGTATACCGGTAATGGTAATATACTTATGACAATAATCAATGAATTGCAGGATTCGCATCAGCATGGATCAAGGGTCAGAGTATATTGGTCAGCTGTACTTCACCACGAACAAACACACCTACGGTCCGTATGGACGGCAGAACACGACATTCTGGGATCTGGAGCACGGAGGGCAGCCCCTGATGTACGTGTCTGGAAGATACAGCAGTTATCTGAACGCCTTGACATTTCACTGGAAAGACCTGTAGGCTCCCATATTGGCTTGTCTTATTCATTGATTTATTTGCTCTTACCATATGATGTGGCCCAAGTGCTGAGTTATTGAATACCGGTCTCAGTTTTTTTTTCTTCCCGAAGGTGAGGCCTCTCTCAACCCTGTGTAATAAACTTTTGAATTTCAGGAACCCTGCGTTAAACAATACACAATATCAAAAACAAGATTGCAATGATTTATTTTTTAGTCATAGTTGCTAGATTTTTCGTAAAGAAATGCAACAAACCTCATGGAAAGGATGATTGGACGTTCAGTACAAATGTGGTAGATTCTTCAGGAGGTTGTAGACTTATTTGTTTAATCATGTTTGGACCTTCAAGGCTAGTATTATACGGAAAAGTGAATTTAAAACTTATACATAAAAAATGCTCGGATTAAAGGGAACTTACGGCGGGCTGGTTTGGCCTCGATTTGCAAAAGTTAGAATATTAATTTTTTTTTAAATACATATACATATTTGCGAAAGACGTAATCGAATTGGTAGTTATAACTCTATTGTCGAACAAGAGACTTTGCTCACTTTGCTTTTTTTTTTTTTTTTTTTTTTTTGTAAAAAAATTGTTAAGAACATTTGGCTAGGAGGAGATTCACGCGTGAAATACTAAAAAAATAAAGACTTTGGTTGTGATTTCGATTCGTCTTTCTTAACCAGCACCCCTTCCGTTGATCTTAAAAAAACATTTTCATGGTAAAAGAAAAAAGAATTGTTGATGTCGTTCACCATTATGAGCCTCTACACTCTGTCTCGATTTAATTTATTTTCCATCTAATAAAGCTTATGTGAGCTGGTGAATTTTTGAAGTAAACACAGACCACAGACCTACAGTTGTGGAGTAAAAATATTCTTTCATTAATATAAAATTATACTTCATCACGTAAAAACACGGAAACCATTAGTGTCATAGCATTTCATGAACCATTAGTTGTATAACATAACATCATCTTATATATTCTTGCATGCAATTTACGCTATGTTTTAAGTCATGTAAGGTAATCAGTTGTAGCACTTGCTTTATTTCGAGACAACGGATTATTCCATGTGAAGCTATGTTCTTTCGTTGCATCCGTGCATGTTCATCATGGTGTGATCAAACTTGGCCATGGAAAATTCTCTTGGCTTGATCTGTTTCGGTCCCTAATTGTTGTTTAATACATGTAGCTTAAAACTTTAAACACTACCATGAAAATAATTTCGTAAAATTTATATATACGCAGAATTTTATGAATAAATGCATTTTTTCGCCCACAAAAGTAACTTGTAGATTTTTGTGTTGTCCCAGGTGTTAGATGTTGCGTTCACAACAAAATTTACAAATTTGATTTTAGCGCTATCAATACAGCCAAGAATAATTAAATGCCCCCACTTTAATAATAACTGTTTAGCACCGGCGGTAAGTTTGATATGAACTTGCTCCTTAATTTTCAAGTGGAAGTAAAATGACATTCAATAAGACAGCCACCTTTGTTTTCTCTCTGAAAATAGTAATTAAAAGACAGGACCAACCACTGCAGTTTTACTAAGTACTCTCGTATTCAATCAAAATTTAACTACGCAAGCTGTAAAGGTAGCCCCTAATCTCTTTCAACCTCGGTCCCACAGCCTCGGGA